TAGCCATTGATGAGTTTGACACCCTGTCCTGATGACGTCTTTGACAAACATTACTAGCACCACTGACAGGAACCACTGCTAGAACTGCCAGACACCAGCAGCACCACAGGCAGACACCACTGGCACAACTAACAGGTATCACTAGTATTACCAACAGATACTTTCCTAGCTGCCAAAGTGAAATTCCTGAAACATGAATTTCTTTCTGTCACTCTTCTGCTTAAGAAACTGTTATGGCTCTCTCTTGCTCCTAGGATAAAACTAAAACTCATCTTTGACTTTTTGCAAACCACAACCTTCACAGTTCAACTCTACCCTACTTTTTCAGGATCATTGTGGATTACTCTCCTTCACATATCTTGTATTGAAGAAATAAGGTCCTACCCATACATGACATTCCATCTCTGGCTTCTGTGACTTTGCCTAACTATATTCCAGGCCCTCAGCCCCATAACTCCTGCTACACTATCACATTTAGCATATAGGATAAATACAACACATTTTCAACTGAGGAAACTGGGTTTCAAGGAGTAGAGATGTGTTTCCCAAAGTCACACAGCTAGTAAACATTAATGACTCAATTTGAACTGAAATGGCCTGATCCTGCCGTACAAGCCTATTTTAAGCAATGGCAGGATCACTGGGGTAATGAGACAATATTCACTTAGATGTTTGAGTTCTGGGATGACAATATGTCAAGGACCTGTGATTTCATCAGGACAGGAAATTTTTCATTGGCTAAACTCTAACTCACAATCTTAAGGGTTCCCTGAAGTTCAAATTAAGTAACCTGTCCATAGTCACATTCTGTGAAATGTCAGAGGTAGAATATGAACCCAGATCCTCCTGACTCCAAGTCTATACCCTCTAGCTACTACTTCACACTGGCTTACACGTTTATTTTGTTATTATCGTTTATATCAGTTGCATTAGTCATGGCTTATGTAGAGGATTTTTTCAAGTGTCTGAATCACCTCACTCATTTTAATAACACTTATTGTACCCTGTCAAAGGTTCCAGGGAACTTCCAAATGGTTAAACAGTAGTTAGTTTCCTGATCAATGGAGAAAAGGAGGAAAGGACACTCAAGTATAACTTGCTAATAGTGGAGGTAGTGTCCCCAGGAAGGACACTGAGGCTGGGCTGGTTCAGTCCAGCTCTTATTATTAGCTTAGTCACCAAAGAGCTGAAAAACATGAGAGAAGGCAATACACAGATAATATTACGTGTGCTTCCCTAGGGCTGAGAGTCACTTGGTTCCTTAAACAATAAAGGAAGAATTCTTACCTGTAAATGTCTTTGCTTCAAGTAATGTGTCCATGAATACATAATAAGATGGTAGGAAGTGAATATGTTTTATTTTTCCAAAAAGGTTGGTATCATCTCTGAAGAGTGTCAATCAGCAACTGTCTGATGTTGTACTCACCTCTACCCTCCCTACATTCAATTCCCCCAGAAAGTTCTGCCTCCACACAAAGGGGGGAAATTTGACATATCCAACAAACTTCTGCTTTGTTAGAGATAATTTCCATTGTAGCAAATTTACTTCGCATTATTTAGCACTTTGCTCTACTATAATTTGGAGCAATTTAACAAGGATGTGTCAGGGAAAAGTCAACCTAAACTAGCTAAACTACAATTTATGTCACTGTCAACTTAGAGGTATTGATGAAAGATAAAGATGAAAGCCTTCAAATGCCAAGCCTATGAAACCTTCTAGAGACCTCAGGGAACTCTGTCCTCATTCAGACTTATAATACCAGAAACCAATATGGTTTTATTAATGGAAATGAAATTGAAGAAGATTCATAAACATCTGCTTTGCAGCTGCACTGTAAAAACTGTGGGGCCTTTTCCATCTGATCTGCAGCTAAAACCTCCTATATATGTGGTCTCCTCAATTAGAATATGAGATGTTTGAAAGAAGCAAGTGTTTTACTTTTCTGTTTGTATCCTTGAACTTAGCACAGTCCTATGCACATAGGAAGTACTTAATAAATGCTTTTTTTTTAATTCATTTATGATACACTCCACAAACTCAAGTATAGCCATACTGGCCTGCTTGCTAATCTTCATAGTCAACCCTCCATCTCTCATCATCCCACTTCTGTGGCGGTTGTCCTACACGCCCGGAATGCTCTCTCTCTCAGGGGCCGCATGGCATAATAGACAGAGCTCTGAATCAGACATCAAGAAATTCGGAACCAATTTGAATCCTGTCTCAGATACTTACTAGCTAAGTGCTGCTCAGTAATCTCTCTGAGCTTCTGCTTCCTCATCTGTAAAATGGGGCATTGGACTCAATAACTGCTAAGACTCCTCTCAAGACTAAATTTATGAACCTTATCAATGACTATCTTTCCCAGAACCCCCCTGCCTCCCACTTACTATTGGCTTTTCTTCTGAGGTTACTTTGTATCCACTGTGTATTACACACACACACACAAAACCCCCTTTATTCTACATATACTTTTATATATGTGTGTATATGGATGTGTGTATATAGTGAATATATCATGTATATACATATGTGTATATACATATATACAAACACATTGGATAAAATGTATATATTCATATATAGGATAAAACATGTCTATATATATACTATGCATATATATAATAAACAAACACACACATATATGTAGAATAGAAGGGTGTGGGTGGGTGTATTTATACTGTGGGTCTGGGGTATGTATATATGTTTACACATATACATCTTTACATGTAGACAGCATGTAGGATAAAGGCTCTTTCCTACATGTAGACAACATGTAGAATAAAAGTACCATTCTCCTACATATATATGCAAATGTATGTATATATATAAACATGTATGTATAAATATGCATTTGTGTGTATATACATATATAAATATACATACATGTGTGTATATACATACATATCTACATCTATCTATATCCACTGTGCCACCTAGCTGCCCCCAAAATGTAGGATAAAAGGATATGTAGATATAGATATGTGTATGTGTGATTATGTATATGTGTGTGTATGTGTATATATAAATATATACACATACACACTTACATATATACATACACATGCACTCTAAAGACTGTGGGTTCTTTTCCATCTGGTTAGCAGCTAAAACCTCCTATATCTGTGGTCTCCTCAATTAGAATATGAGATGCTTGAGAGAAGGGAGTATTTTGCTTTTCTATTTGTATCTATATAAATATCATAGTCTTCACGGTGCACATATGTGTATGTGTGTGTGCATATATATGTGTGTGTATACACATATATCCATTTATCCTACATGTTGGGGGCAGCTAGGTGGTACAATAGATAAAGCACCAGCCCTGGAGTCAGGAAGACCTGAGTTTAAATAAAGCCTCAGATACCTAATAGCTGTGTAACCCTAGGTAAGTAAGTCACTTAACTCTGTTTGCTTCAGTTTCCTCACCTGTAAAATGAGCTGGAGAAGGAAATAGCAAACTACTCCAGTATCTTTGCCAAGAAAACCCCAAAGGGGACACAAAGAGTCAAAGACAACTGAAACTACTCAACAACAACAATCCTACATGTTGTCTCCTTCATTAGGATATAAGTCTCTTAAAGGCAGGGGCTGTTTTTGCTTTTTCTCTGTATTCACAATGTTAATAGTACACACTTAATAAGGTTTTATTGATTGCTGTTGCACTCTCCTCTCCCCATTCAACCCCAAATGTTCTATTTCTACACAAAGGGGGAACAAAGTTGACATATCCAAGAAACCTCAGCTTTGTTAAAGATAATGAATAAATGACTTAATGAATGAATGTCATGGTATGCTTACAGAATGTAAAGTTGACAAGAAGTTGGAGGATAGAATAAACCTAGGGGCTTACAGAGTTGAGGTAAAAAAAAAAAAGACTGTGTCAGCCAATACTTTGGAGTAGAATCTAATAAGAGGAAATTACATGGGGATAATTGTCATGTTCTCTATTTGAGTTCAAAGAGTCAACTGCAAAAAGAGCTCTGGATTTGGAGTCAAAGAACCTGGGTTTGATCTTGAATCTGCCACTAGTAGGTAATGAAGGTATGTCATTCTCTCCATTGTCCTAACTGGCAACAGAGAGCAAACCTTTACAAAAGGGAGAAAGGGAACATGAATTCCATGAGCAATCTTCTTTGAATTACCGACAGCAGTACAGAAAGGAGAGCAGAAGATCTGGTTCTTTACAGATGTCCTCCATCTCTAGTCACCTCTTCCTTTGGTAACCTCCTGTCAAATGTCTGGCAGTGTTACTCTGAGTATTATTTTCAAAAGAACAATTTTCATCTCTGCTAATGAAGAATGTGTGCCTGTGAAAATCTTTCAAAAGTGGCTTCATGTATAATTAACTCTTAACTTCCATCTGGTTTTCTGGGAAAATAACATAATTTAGCACCGTAAAACAAAGAAAAGGCTCCACATACATCCACATAGTTATATTTTAGTTATTTAGGTTGACTTTCTGATTTATAGATTATATTTAGGTCCTGTGTGCCTCACCCCTCAGGCAGTTGGCTTCTTGGTCATTTCCGCTAACATTAATAGCCTGATGGGACACAGAAAATAAAGAGATGAAACAAGCTGATAAATTCTGTTCATTGTTGATAAGATTTGCCTAGAGGTTTGAAGGGGTAAGAACTTGAGTCTACTGTCTAAAACAAGGCTTTGAAAGTGGATAGAGTGCCAGGCTTGAAGTCTGGGTTCAAATTTGATACTCACTAGGTTCAGGACCATGGACAAGCCACCCACCCTCTAAGCTTCAATTTCCTCTTTCCTAAAAAAAGAGGACAATGATGCCTGTAGTACAACATCCTTAGGGATGTTGTGGGGCTCCTATCAGATAATGTAGACAAGGCATTCTGCAAAATGTATGTTGCTTATAACAAAGTCAGCAGAACTATACTGTCCCTTTCCTCCAAATCCACTAAAAAAAAAGTGACAACTGACCGGAAGCATCACTTTTGAATTGTATGAACCATATTCTTTGTGGCAAGACACTTACCTGTTCTGGATACTTGCTCCCAGTGATCTCAGCCACAGTATTGAAGGATTCTGTATCTGGGTAGTTCTTTGCTTCCATCTTTAGCTGGATGACAATTTTGGTCCCCCGAGAAGCCATCCTTGCCATCATCTCTGCATCCTCCACAGTAATGCAGGCCGTTGGGATCTGAGGCACACCATCCTGGTAGTACTGAATTCCTGTGTGAGGACTTGAAAAACAAAGTCTGCATTAACCCCAAAAGATTAAATTAAATAAAAGAAAGGCATTTATAAAAATTTCACCGATATATTCCCATTTGACTGTCTTTTTTGTTTTGTTTTGCTTTTCTAATGCCAGCTACATGTGAATAGGCAAAAGATTATTGCTTTCTTGACAAAAGAATTATTATTGCCATGATTGCAATTCTTCCATTACATTGCTGCCTTCTTGGGTATGGAAGTGACTCTGAGTTCTTGAAGGTTCTGTTATTGTCACATAAGTTCTGGTAGGTCCTATTGAGCTAGAAAGTTTTTGAGTTTAATCCCAGCAGTGGACTTATATGACAATGTGCTTTTCATAAAAGGATCAGTCTATAATGTTTGGAAAAACTGAGCAACAAAAGGATAGCTACCAGATTTGAAATCTAGGGGCCACCAGAACACATCAAACTGTCTACCTAAGGCTATTTAGGAAGCTGCAGTGTGCATTGGTGGAGGGAGAAGACACATCAACAAAATCCTCGATCTTGCTAAGTGATGAAGAAATATGGAGAAGAAGAAGAAGAGGAAGAAGAAGAAGAAAGAGGAGGAGAAGGAAGAAGAGGAGGAGGAGGAGGAGGAGGAGGAAGAATGGTACAGAGAATAAAGAACTAGCCCGAGTCAGGATTTCAGTCCTGCTTCTAGTTCATATTAGCTGTGTAACCCTGAGCAAGTCAACCTCTAAATGTCCCAGGTAACTAATACTATGAACTGCAAAACAGGCAGAGATCTATATTGGCAGAGGAAATCATCTCATCAGGAATTCTCTAAATCAATAAAATCACAGATCTGCTAAATAATAATAGCTCATTTATATATAGTACTTTATAATAATAAAACATATAACAGATTCATTATCAAGGGGTTCTGAGATATGAAATAGGGATGAAACATCTCCTACCTCTTTGGTAGTCTGGTGAACACTATGGACCCCTTTCTCAGAATAATGTTTTTAAACACATAAAATAAAATACATAACTTTACAAAGGAAATAGGTTTTATTGAAATAGTTATTAAAGTATTTTTTGAAAAACAAAGCTCACAGACCCTAGGTTAAGAACTCCTGCTCTATCTAACTTGAACCTCAAAACAACCCTGTGGGGCAGATAGTGAAATATTATCTCTATTCTAAAGATATGTTAATTCAGACCAAGAGAGGTTAAATAATTTGCCTAAGTTGTCACAACTAGTAAATGACAAAAATCTAGAACTCAAAAACCAGGTTGTCTGACTCCAAAACTGGTGTTTTTTCTTCCAGTACCTTAAACTTAATGTTATTAACAATATAATGTTACGGCTTCTTAAGTAAGTTTTCAGGGTATCTATTTGGGTATTTTAAATAATACTTTAACTGTTAGCCCACATACTCCACTGGTATATGCACAAGGCTGTCAACAGGACAGAACCAGCCTCTAACCTGTGGATGGCCACAGCCAAACAAAGCAGGCCAGAGACAGGAGGGTCAGGAATCAAACAGAAGTTTAATTTCAAAGTGAGGGAAATGGCTTGCAAGTGAGAAGGCAGATTAAACACATGTTCTGGGGCCCTGCCCCTGAGACCCGCTTTAGTGTGGCTAAACCTTGATACTTATACCAATGGCTACTCACTGAGTTGTAGCCCTGACAATGATGCGTAATAACAACAATATGACATGTAAGAATACATGACAATAAGAATGTATATGTAGAGCCTAAATCAGATTGTACACCGTCTTGGGGAGGGAAGAAGGGACGGAGGCAGAGAAAATTTAAAACTCAAAAGCTTATGGAAGTGAATGTTGAAAACTAAAATTAATAAATTAATTTAAAAATTTCAAAATAAATAAATACTTGTTACCTTCCTCTTTCCCTTTCCCAGGACAATAAGTGGGCCCCCATGGTAAACTTATAGAAGGGCATGGACAACAGTCACACAAGATGGGTAGGCATTGGAGTATTTGAGCAATAAAAAATGTTTTACCCTACAAAGGATATTAGTGGTGCCCTAATCACTTCATAAGTAAGGAAATTAGGAAGGCACCTAAGGACAGAGGCAATTCTAGTGAACAAAAGGAGTGACACGTCCTGAAGAAATGGAAGTTAGAATATGAATTGCTACAAATAGCTTCAAGTCTGCTTCCCATTCATCTTGAAAGTCAAGAACAAGCAACTGGGGAATGACTAAAGAACCTGTAGCATGTGAATGTAATAGACTATTAACATGTTGTAAGAAAAAATAGGTAGGAAGATAGGAATATTTATGTGAACTGATTCAAAGAAAAGTAAGTAGAACCAGAAAAGTTATATATTTATAATTATTTATATATGTATATCTACATATATATATATATGTCTGTGTCTATGTGTGTGTGTGTAGACTACAATTATGTAAATGGAAGGAAAGCACACTGACAACAAAATAGCTTAAACTGAATACTAGGAAACTCTAATGATCAAGTTCAGCCACAAAGAAGAGCCAACTCCCTTCCTTCTTTACCAAGGTAGGTACTATTGGCACACAACACAACAGATGTCTGACTTTTTTGACATTTTGTTTTTGCTGAACTTTTTTTTTCTCTTTTCTATATTCTTTTTCATTAGGGATGGCTCACTGAAAGGATAAAGGTAGAGGGGCACACTAAGAAATGTAGATGATATAAAAACAAAAATATCAATAAAGTTTCTTTTAAGTGGAGTATGAAAAAATATAAATATCAGAAATTTTGTGAAGATTAATGAAATATACCTGGTCAAAGTGAACCCTTCTCCTTCCTCCCTTATATCTAATCTATACAAATATAAGGAAGCATTATTATTCTGTACTAGTCTTTTGTTCTTCCTTCTGGAATTTTTTTCTCCTCAAAGAATGACTTCTAATCAAAGGCTTTATTAACATATTGGTGATTCAGCATCTGGTTTCCCTAAATTGCTTTGCTCTAATCCTGCTCCTTCAATCATGTCACCATCTTTCAGGTGATCCCAGTCACAGGATCGTATGATCGAATGGTTAGGGTTTCTGACAGTTGCTTTCAAAGCTCTCTGTCAGTCGATCTCACCCATTTTCCAACATATCCCCAGCTCACCTTGTAACCTGACCCTTTTACTCCAAGTTATTTTCAAGCTATCCCAAGTTCATAAGACAACCTTTTCCCACATGCTTTCCAAACCATAACCTTGGTCACCCATAAACTACAATTTATTATACACCTCCTCTAAGAATTGTACTATTATACACCTTCACTAGCACAACTGTCCAAAACTGCTATGTATTTTGGGGTGCAACTTAAGTACTTGCGGGCTAACTGACTTTTGAAGCAGATCACCAAAGGGTCTAAAAATCCAAGATTACAACCTGGTAACTGAGCTTGCTTGTGCTGTTAAAAGTTTTATCAATGACTTGGTTGAGGGTATATTTATCAAAATTGAAGATAACACAAAGGAAGGCTGTTGTTGTTGTTCAGTCATTTTTCAGTTCCAACTCTTCATGACCCTGCTTGAGGTTTTCTTGGCAAAGATATTGGAGTAGTTTGCCATTTCCTTCTTCAGCTCATTTTTACAGATAAAGCAACTGAGGTAAACAGGGTTAAATGACTCGATAAGAAATTAAATGACAAAAATGGAATCTATGACGATCCTGACAAGGCCCTGTGCTGGGCTCTTCTCTTCTTATACTATATTATCTTACTTAGTGATCTCATCAGCTCCAATTATCACCTATCTCTAAGCAGATGATTTCCATATCTATATATAATCCCTAACCTCTCTCCTGAGTTTCATTCTTGCGTCACCAACTGTCTTTTAGATATCTCAGACTAGATGTCTCATATGTTTCAAATCAACATGTCAAAAACAGATCTCATTATATTTTACCCAAAACCTTTCCTTCTTCTAAATGTCCCTGTTCCTATCCAGAATAACACCATCCTCCCCAATCAAGCAGGCTCAAAACCTCAGTATCATCCTTAATTCCTTACTACTTTAAGACAGAGATGTGGTTTTCTTTGTATCCCTGTGCTTAGTACAAGGCCTGGCACACAGCTAAGTAATTAATATATGCTTATTGATTGACCAGCTGGACTGACAATGCCTATATACAGCAGAAATTCAATAAAAAATTTATTGAATTAAGTTGAATCACAAAATTTTAGCGTTGGATGGGACATCACTGTTGATCTAGTCCAACTCAAACCTGAAAAGTAATCTTCTCTTTAACAATGAAAGAAATGACAGGCTGGAAAAGTTGTAAAGTAAGCATGCAAAGTCCAGCACTTAGGTTCAAAAATGAATTGCTTAAGTACAGAATAGGGTAGATGTGAGTCTAAAGTAGTTCATATCAGAAAGACTTCAGTATTATATTAAACTGAAAGCATTTATGAATCAGTAGTGTAATGAGGCAAGTGAAAGAACTGATACTGCATTAATAAAGTGTCTATCACAAGAAAGATTATAATGAAAATGCAATATCAAGAATTTAAGCTGGAAAGGAACTCAGTGGCCACCTGATCCAATCCATACCTGACCCCTGTACCTGACAATATACTCAGAAAGTACCCAGCATCTTCTTGAAAATCTTCAATGGGGGGAACCTACTACCTCATGGGGCAGCCCATTTCACTTTTTGTTCATTCCAATATTTAGAAAGCCTTTCCTCACAATCTTAAATTTGCCTTTTCATAACTTCTACCCATCTTCACCTGTGGGTACAAGAAGCTGTAACATGCACAGTAGCCACACTCCTGTAAACTGTCTTAGCAGACAGGCTAAACCAGCTGGAGGGTAACTGACAGGCCCCAAACCCATTAGTGAGTTAGGGAGATGTCTACACCAAGCACAGGGACACTTGCTCTGGTGGAATGGGTGGATGACAACAATTTGTTCCAACCCTCATGAAGGCAGCTGAAGCAGGAGTGTTTAGAGCTTGGTCAGATGTCAAAGACACCAAGTTCACTGACTGCATCCCATGCCACTGGCAGTTGTCTTGACTTTTGTCTTGA